CTGGGTATTTCTTATTGTGCAGCTGCTTTGGATGCTCTTTTCTCTAGTGCACCCAAGTATTCCTGCCTCCAAGCATTGGAAAACATCAATTTGATTTCCTAATTCAGATAGGATTCCTCCGGCGCTCTTTCCTACTGATCTTGGGATAATTGTGCTCTGGAGTAACGGACCAGACTCCTTCATCTGCTTCCCAGGGTTGATGCTTTTCCTTCCAGGCTTAAGAATGTGTTGTTTTTCTTTTCGTTTATTCACTTTGAAATGGATATCTTTTTGATTTTGCCAGTCAATAGAAGAAGATGTGGTGTGTTGTAGGATGCAATCAATGTTGCTGGACGGTGATATCAAGTATAGGAGTGAGCTAGGTAAAGTCTTCAGGCTTTATTATCACTTGGAGCTTCGTTTTGCCCCCAAATTATCTTGCATACTTGAAAATTAAAAGGTAGGATATGTATTAGATTGAAAAATAAATCAATTAACAGAGAAGTAAATAAACAGAATATGCAGTAAACACCATAGAAGTGTTTTATTTCTTTCAACTTTATGCATCTTCACCTGGAGATTAAATAGGTTAGTGTCCAAGGAAGAAGCAGAGGAGTCTTGGTCTTGTTAAGTGATAGCAGTGGAAAGAGGCTTTCTGCTAGATAGTTGGTACTTGAGTCATGGTAACGTAATGAAACTTTGGGGTTACTGTTTTGCCCTGATCTTTTTCTTGTTACACTGAAATCACAAGTGCTGGCACTTGTTGCCTGGTTTAAGCACCATTTGTTCCCTCCCTGCCTTGTGCTTCTCTTCAGAGACTATATCCAGATGAAGAGGAACAGACTTTGCTCCAGGAGGATTCTAAGTGTTAAATGCTGGTCCCTTATTCGGGCATTTATTAAGGAAGGAGATGAATGGAAGAGAGAACTGTAGGAATCCTTGCCCCCTTTTTTTTTGCTACATGAATATGTATGTTATCTTGGTGAAACACATTGACTGCAGCATACAGGATGAATTTAAAACTCATGTATGCACCTTCTTGTCTCTACAGAAGTTTTTCCTCCCAGTTATTGGTCACAAAAAAATCCTACTCAAATAGTTTCAGCACCAAAAAATTATTTATTTATAATTTAATGATTTTTTATATGTAGTTTTCCACTAGAGAACTGTTTCATTTCTGAAATTTGTAGGCCAGTCCAGATTAGTATAGTCATTGCTAAACTAGAAAAGATAGTGGAATCTTTTTATATATTTACTTTTTTTAAAAAAGAAAAAGATCCTGAAAGTGAGGCTATTCATCCAGATTAGTTCTTTGAGTATTGAAGTTGTTGGGTTAAAAATGACAAACCAGGTGTTCAGATCTTGGGTGTCTATTGTTAGTTGTTTTTTTTAAAGGGATTCTGTGATAAGAGGTTGTACAGCGCTTTTTAATCTATCAGTTATTTTATCAATCCTTCATTCATAGCAGTTGCTTTAATTGCAGAAATTTTTAGAATGTTATTTTTTGTGGCTAATATAACTCTGGCTATTTGGTCCATTTCTGACAAATATTCTGCCTGTTATTAATATCTATTTAAATTGAGTATTTGCATAATCTGTCATCCTTTGAGGGGATCAATATATTTCGAGAGCTGATAGTGAAAGCTAAACTGGCACAAATTCAACTCACTGTTGCTGAGAGCTTGAGTTTCCTTTGCATATACTGCAGAGTATTTGGTGAAACACACTCTTTATCAGTACAATCAAGCTATTTGGATTTTTATTTTTTGTTTTGCAAATTATTATTACTGCTTCCTAGAGGAGGGTGTGAAATGTGGGACTGAAGTCACTCATAAGAACTCCTGGGAGATCATTCAGGCTAATGTTCATAGATGCATATCATAAAGATAACACAGGTTACAAAGGGTTTTCAGGATGATAGGAATACTGTAAAATTCAAATTAAAAAAATACATAGGAGATTTGCTTTCCAAAACTATTTCTGTTTCCATGTAATTTTATTTCAGTATTTTGTCATCCCCTTGCCATTTCAGACTCTCTTGTGGGAGCTTTAAAACTTTTGTTGACATCTGCATGTTAGGTTCATCTTTGGAGTAAGGTGACTTGTAAATACGGTATTGTGATGAGGCTGACACCTTATAAATAGGACATAAAGAGGAAGAACTTTCATCCAAAATCAAAGTTGTGATTTTTTTTTTTTTGAGATAGTACAGAACTTTGTAAGTATGCTTCTTAGATTTTCATTAACTCTTTGTTCTTCTGCATAGGTCTGGTCCCTACATGAGGGTGGCTTTTGTGTAAGACCCGTTTGCCTTACGTGGGCTGATGGCTTCACAGCAGCCGGTCGTTGTGGCCACTGGGAGAGCTTAAGAGCAGATAGGTATAAAGGATCTTTATGTATGCTCCAAAATTCCTCGGAGTTCAACACAACAGGCTTTTGAATATCAAGCATAAGTACAAGCTTTGGGGGAGGGAGGCACAGAGGAAGAACAGAAAATGCATCATGTTTTTCTTACGGCAAGATGCAGCAGTCCCTGTAGCTTAACTTTGCATTTTTTAGTACTTTGCTAGAAACTGGTGTTCTGCAGCCCCAGAACCGCCCTGGTTTCAGCTGGCCATGCGAAAAAGTATTTTAATTGCTCTTAACTTTACTGTTTCCTGTGTGCTTTGCAGGAAAATGTTTGCACCTGAAGAGTATATTACATGATATTTTATGCAGATTTAGATTAGTTACATTGGTACTACAGTGGAGAAAATCCGCAGGCAGGAAAAGAGGAAAATCAACAAGCGGCATCTCATGCTGCTTCCAGTTACACACCACACGTGAGGGAAGTCTGTGAATGAAGATTTACCTGAAGTCGAGAGTAGGCTGAGGAAAGAAACAATCCGAGAGCAAATCTGAGGAGCTGTTAAATCTAATTTGTTGAAGACTAGAAAAGCAGGAAAAAAAAAGAACTCAAATTCTCGGTAATAGTTGGCTTGAAGGCTTCCTGAGATAATATGTGCTGTTCTTCCTTTTAGTTTATTTTTCCCCACATTTAAATCTGCTTAAATAGTGAAAGTGACAGCATAAGCTGTGGTGGTTTTTTTTATCGTTTCTGTTGTTGTTTTACTGTAAACTTTCTATCCAAGTGTTGTTGACACCCCCTGGGATGCCCAGGACTGCCTGTGGGTTGTTTATATTATTTGGGGGAAACAAATTGTTATTTTTTGAAAATAAAAATTGAAATTGATTTTTTTTTTGAAATTTTTTGAAAAGAAGAAAGTGAACACGTGGAACTTGAAATGCCATCGCCTCTTGGTGTGCGATGCCCTACCCTGTTATCCTCTCCACAGTCCTATATTGCCTGAGCAGTAGTTTGTTTTGTTTCGGCATTGGCTCTTTCCCACGCAGGATTACTTGATCCTGGCTTGTTCTTCTGCTCAGTAAAGCACACACCCCTTTCCACAGCATTGCTTTTACCCTCTCCTAGCATCCTCTCCCGAGCTCTTACTTCAGGGATGCTTCTGAGAGGTCTTTACAGGGTTGAGTATCAGGATTTCTCCTGCCTCTGCAGTAGGGCTGTGACATTCCCAGTTGTGGCTAGATATCCCCCAAAACATAAAGAAACATCTGATCTAGGATTTCCACCATGGCTTTGGCTCCTCTTGGTTTTGAGAGGGTAGAAGAGCTGTATATTTGAGCAGAATGAGACACAGCTTATCTGCCTGGTACGGTTCCCCCATTGGCACAAATAATACGAATGCCACTTGGAGAACAAACGGATTATAAAAAATGAAATGCAGGCACCCCGATCCCGAGCACTTGGAAGGCATGACAGTGATGTATTTGTGTAACCTTTCCACGAAAAGCGACGCTGAAGTCAAAGCGGGGATTTTGATTTCCTTCATTAAAAGCTGATTAAGAGAAGAAATAGGAGAGCGCTGGCGTTGCTGCGGCAGCTGGGGTCGCCGAGGCCTCAGCTCCTGATCCTGATGTCTGCCCTCAGCTGTGGGAAGGGAGCCCCACTCCTCACCAGGGATCCCCCCGCACGCCGGGATGCGCGGAGGCCGCCGGGATGCGTGGAGGCCGCGGGGCCCTCAGCGCCAGGCAGGGCAGGCCGTGGGCCATGCTGCTTCGTGGTACTCACTGTCCAACCAGATGCTCCACAGAGATCCAGGCATCTCCTCCCTGTGCTGCCTCCCTCCCTACCTTGTCAGTCTCCTCCGAGCTGGGAATTTTCATTAACCCTTTGCTAGGTCCGAGCCAGGAAGGAGTACAACACTACCACGCTGTGCATGTAGGTTTTGAATTATAAGGCCAGCTTTTAAAACACTAACTTTGGGCGTATATGTGCATGCAAAGATCCTAGGAACCCCTGTTTCTCTTTCCTGCCCAGTTTGTCTACCTTTTGTGTGCTTTGCTAGGCTCTGTGGCTCTCCTGGCTCCTCAGGGCCAGGCACTGGCCAAAGGGGCTCCTGGGGCTCTTCGTGTTGCAGATACACTTAGGGCACAAGGTTAGTTTAAATTAATATCATCTGGACCCAGCTCATCACGGCTGCGCTGTCCAGAGGGAACATTCTCACATCAGAAAATGAAAATACTTCTGATTTGTGTGTACGCCTGTGTATGTGTCACAAGGATTTGAATTAAATTCAGCAGTGCCACGCTGTCTTGGGCAATGAAATTAATTTGCAAAGCTGCACGAATACAGTTTGATTTGCTACAGCCAGACCCCGTTGCATCTGCTGGCTTAGTGAAATGTCACCAGAGCCATGCCTGAAAATGTGGAGCTGCTGCTCCTGTCCCGCTCCCAGCCTCCGTGGTGCTGAACTGCAAGGGATCCTGATGTCAATTTAGCTCCGAGTTGAGCTGTCCTTTACGGCAGCACTTCAGGGGGTTAGGTTAGCTCACTCGTGAGTCCCTGTGGGTCCTCTTTGCTCCTCCCCAGCTCTACTTTCTAGTCTGTGTTTGTTCATGACTTTTTTTTTTTCCTTTAAAGTTTTAAAAGTAAATGGTGTTTTTGTTTGTTTGCTTTTCAGTCAGAGAAGCCTGGCAGAGATTACAGAATTGATCCACACGGCCTTTCTGGTGCATCGTGGCATAGTAAATATCGGCGAGCTGAAGTCCTGCGACGGCCCGCTGAAGGACATGCAGTTTGGGAATAAAATGGCTGTTCTGAGTGGAGATTTTCTTCTAGCAAATGCTTGCACAAGCCTTGCTCAGCTGCAGAACACCAAGGTAAAAAGAGATGATAAATCCTTTTTTTTTCCTCACAAAGCAAGTAGCTATTAGTGAATCAGCAGAAAGAGAGCTCTTAGAAAGGAAAATAATAATAACCGTAGTTATGGTATGGTAAGTGTGTGTGTATGGAACGTCCTTTAGAAATTTGCCTAGTGATATTATAGCTGTAGATGCATCAGCTGATTGCTGCTCCTTGTTCCTGTTTACCATTGCATACTAGAGCAACTGTGTTAAGGCTTTGGTGTATTTTGAGGCAGTGTTGGTGGTGGGTAAGCGGGCAGGTTGGCGGCACTGGGAACGTGCCCTGCGTCGTCCCCGTGAGGCGCTGGCACCGGCTGCCCCGGCAGGCTGCAGGGTGCCGGCTCCGGCCACGACGCCCGTGAGGGGGAAAGGATTTGTCCAGCTTGGAGAGCTCCTGGGGAGGAGGCTTCGCTTCCTGGGCTGCGCTGTTCCCAGGCGACTTACTGCTTGTGATAAAGCTTTGTTAGGCGCCTGGACACCTTCGAGTATTGGGCTGCGCTGTAAACAAGGAGGTACTGGCTTTTAAAGCAGGCCAGGCTTAGTCCAGCTGCTGAGCCACTCTGTTAAAAGAACTGCTGTTTATGGGGGTAATCTTAGAAAACGAGGCGAATGGAAACCTCGGGAGATCATCTCTCTGGTCTGTTCCTCTGTCCCCAGATAGGGCCAGCTCTACCAAATCATCCCTGGTCTTGATCATCTTGGTCTAGCTTGTTCTTCAAGCCTCCCATGGTGCAGTTTCCTCAGCACCCCTACGAAATCTTAGCTACATGTGCAGCTAGAAAGCTTCATGTACTCATCTGATGGAAACGGACTGCAGTTCTTTGCAGGAGGATTTTTATGTGTTTGAAAACTCCTGCTTGTCTTAATGCAAAAAAAAAAAAAAAAAAAGTTTATCACGTGCACAATAGTCAATAATCAGCGTGCTTTTCATTCTGAGCTTGGTGAGTCTCTTGCTTTTAGATGGCTCTGCTCAGTTTCTCATGATGGTAATTGTGAATGTGTGTCCTGCTTCTGGTAGTTGTGAATTTGTGTCGTTGCTGCTTCTGTCGTTGGTGGGGAGTTGGTAGAGCTGAGGTTTAGGAGAAAAGGGTCAGGAACTGTTCAGCTGCTGGAACAGTGGATTTAAGCCATTAGAAAGAACTGTTAGCAAATATTAAAATGAACTCATTTTTTATGCTATAACCAGCATATGTTGTAATTAATTTTACTAAAAAATGTTGATTTATGTCTTTTTTTTTTCTTGTAAGATGGCCAAGACAGACCAAAGAGTGTTACTGTATAATTTTGGCTTCAGCTTAGAGAAAACTTTCACAAAATGCAGCGTCTATTACTTTGAATTTAGTACACCATTAAGTATTGCAGCAGCATTCCGATAAGATTTGCCAGGAAACAAGCCTCTACAGTAAAACGAAGCACAAGTGCAAAGAAATTCTTTTTCTTTTTCTTTTCTTTCTTATTTTTCAAGCAATCATTATATTGCATGTCGGAAAATTCTGCCAAAACATTTTAGCACTTTTTTCTTTTTTCTGACATCTAAATACTTTCATAGCTTCTACATACGATAAGTGGGATGCCATTATGGAAACTGATTGACTTAGTAAATTATTCTTTTTCATATGTCTAACCTTACTAGCAAAGTTAGGAAAATTGAAATACAAGCTATAGAAATCTCTTGACAGGTGCAGTGATTTAAACATACTGTATTTATTCTTTTGTAAATGATGAATTTTCAAATCTGGCATCTGTTTTTCAGCAGTGTGAAATAACTGTGACTTTTTTCTTCATAATGTTTTGTTTTCTTTGAAGTAAAAGTAAAAATCATAGTACTCCTTTGTGCTGGCATTTGGTAGCTCGACAAATTGGCTAATGCCATAAGCAGCATTGTCTTGTGGATGGTAGTGACCACGGCAAACTGTAACATCTGCACAGACATGCATGATGATGTATAGGCAGGAATTTAAACTAAGGGGCTCTTTAACATTAACCAAAAGCACTGCTACCAAGCTGATTTTATTGTGCTGTTAAACTCCTGCCTGAGCTGCTGTGTGATGCATTTATCTCTGTGCTTCTCCCGGGGCTGACAATTAGATGTGAAATTCTGCAGTCGTAATGAAATGCAGAGCTATTTTATAATTGCCAAGGGTAAAATTAGCAAAGTCAATTATTTCCCCTTAGGCTTTTCCCTGTAGATATTAAAAGGCTGCAAGGTAATTGCCTTAGGTAACACTTTGATTTTTAAATAACATTAAATATAGGAATTGTTGTTACTAATTCGTAGTAATTTTCTCCCTCTTGCTACTCTTGTAGAATGTAACTGTAATGATGTTAACAGGATTCAGAGCTCAGATTTTTGTTTGTTTGTTTTAAACTGGTGCTCATAATCCTCATTCCCATGTTTGCTAGTGTTCTTCGGCAAAAGAATTTTTTTTTTCCTTCTCAGAATTTCTTGAAATGTCAGTTAGTAAGCCAGAAATGTGACAGCTTCCTGTAAAATACATTATCTTGGGCTGCTGTAAAGTCATCTGAATTTTTATTGTTCGAATATGGGCAGTAGTTCTGAAGAAAGCATTATCAGTTTTTATTTTTGCTACATTTCAAGACATTAATTATTGGTATTGACTAGGAGTCTTAAGATCAAATACTGCAGAACAGGTAGAATGACGTGCTGTGTTTTTATAACTATGGGAGAGCTGTACATTGATTTTGCATTTTCACTGAATTAATGAAAACTGCAAAATAAAAAGCTGTTTCTTTAATAAAAACAACTAGACAGTAGTATGTGGATCAGGGGACATTTACAGTTCTTCTATACATTCATCTTCACTTTTTATTCACCTTATTTAAATGCTATTACTTTGTCCAGTTCCTTGTTTATAGGATGTTTTTTTCTTGGCCTATTGACTACAGTGATAAATTATGTTGTTGCTTGACAGTAATATGGGTATAACCTTATTTCCAATCTGTATCCTGCGGTTGAACATTATTAATGTGGGGTTAGAACATTAATGTGGGGCCCAAAGAGACATTTGCTCTGTATTTATTTGGGATCTTTCATTAGTTCTTATATCAGAAGTGCATTTAGGTTTTGACAAGGAAGGCTACTTCTTTGTTTTAGTTCTAGTTAAATAATAAAACAATAATGTCTGGTAATGTATTAATTTATTGGATTGGAATATGTTTGTATTGGATGATAGGGTGGTTTGGATAGAACTTATTTTTATTGAGCTAAAAAAGTGTTTTAATATGAGGGTCTTGATAAGGTATTTGGAAAAATCCTTGTAAGCATGTAGTTGTAAATAAATAGATATATAACAAGCAAAATAGCATACCTCTGAGTATGTTTTAGGATATGCGTCCACATATAGTTTTAAATAAAAATGCTTTACAGGTTTTTTTTTTTTTTTAATATATAAAAGAACACATTTAAGAGCCGGCTTTCTGTTGCCCTCCGCAAGGCTGCAGTCCTTACATACGTTACATCCTTACATCCATTCCTCTCTAACACACGTTTTCCCGCTCTGCGTGCCGGGGCTGTGGGCACGAAGCAGCTCACGGGCTCTTGGCAAAGTTTCCCGGCGGAAGCACCTCGCCGAGGCTCGCAGCAAAAGGGCTCCGCTAGCCTCCGAGCTTGGCGTGAGTAAACCTTGACTTCTTGCACACCTTGACTTCTTGGAATCAGCTGAGGGTGGCAGGTGAGCCGAGCAGTAGCAGCAAACATCCCTCGGGTTCCTTTTTCCTCACCTCAGTCTCTGTTGTCCTTTTAGAGAAGTGATGCGGAAGGTCTCACACAAGCGAGGTGCGAGTGTTGACCGGGATGTCGCCTTCCACAAGCAATGAGCTTTTTCCAGGTGTTGCAGGTGAATTAGGAGAAATCCATCGGAGCATTTTGGATGCAGCTTCCAGGAGTACCTGTACGCTCAGCTGCCCTACATGACTGCAGAGAAAATGCACAAGAGAGGCGGGTTGAGCAGTTTTGATGCTCCCACAGGCTGGAGACAGTGACATGCAGAAGTTGAGGGCATGAAAGGATGCATTTTAGTGCAATGCAGGCTGTAATATGTTGAAAACTGAAGAATATGCTAAAATCATATGTAAATGTGTTGTTTTTAGCTGTATAAACTGATATGAAGGCATATCCATTAGTAGTCTTAAAAAATCCCTAAACTACAAATCTGTACATTGGAAAGTAGTGCTCTTTGTAGCTTGTACTGAAATCTGAAGAATGAGTCTTTTTTTCCCACTTAAAATCCAATAATCTCTTACTGGAGTGATTAAAGGGAGCATTTGGAGCACTGTAAAGTGAGCAGCCTCATTGCTTGGGATGGGACTGAAGGATCCTGCCTGTCCCGGGCAGAGCCCTACCAGCAGCCACGGTACAGGGCATTGTTTTATTAGGCATTATTTGCTTATAAATAAACAGGAGCACAGATGCAGCACTTATATAGTGGATGCATTTCCTTATGTTAACTCGGTGTATTCCTGAAGGCATAAATATGTTGTTTACAAAATAGGCCTTGTGTTTGCATAAACGTTAACAAGTTTTGCATGTAAATCTTCAGTCTTCCCACTGCAGCAGCAGCCCGAATGCGCGCGGCGCTCCCCAGAAGAGCTGCTTTGGGCTGCACTTTCTGCTTATGGGGCACCAAATGTGTCCTGAAGTCCTCAGTTTTGGTCCTTTCCTGAGATTTGAAGGATGCAGAGCACCCCGGTTGCTCTTCTGATGCAACGTGACATTTCTGAGTGCTGACAAACTTGACGCTTTTATTTTTTAAATGCTCTTTAAGAAGAATCAGAGCAGTGCTTTGCCCAGGATTTAATTTGGTAGGGAAGTTAAAACTTGATATTCACTTAAGGGAGCTGAATCTTTCTTCCTTTTTTTTCTTCCCATTATTCTCAAAGACAGAATTTTTAATTAAAATGTGTCTTTAGTGAACATTTTACAGTGATATCAACTTGTTCCAGTAGCAAAAAAAGAC